CTCTCTCTCTCTCTCTCTCTCTCTCTCCGTTGTGTCTCAGGGATTCCCCCCCCGGCTGCTGATGTGGCAGTGATGTCCCTCGTGCCTGTCTTTGCTCCCCCAGTCTGCGCAACAGAGAACGAGCTTGCGCCCGTCGATCAATAGGCGGCAAATGTGCCGCTGGGGTGCAATGACCATCCGGGCCAGGTCCAGTCCTCATCCTCACGCGACGACCTCCGCCGTCATCTCTGTCCGCCGTACGGATCCTCGGGACGTAATCGGAGTCATCAGGATCGTCGGCGCCTGTGGTCTCACCGCCCTCAGCGGCTGTAGAGCTGTCGTCGTGGAGGATGATCGTGCCGCCTCGTCTCTTCTCACCTCGACCTGCTTCGTCCACTTTGTCACCTCCCTCCGCCCCCCCCTGTCCATCTGCGACAGCTGGCATCTGTCTGGTCTCATCCCTGTTGCGGAAAAAAGGATGCAGGCGGCGCCGGTGATACACAATCGACACACCTGTTCCCTTCTTCCTCGCCCGTGACAGCCTCGCAGTTGCCGTTCTGGTGTCGTTGACATCGCTCGTCTTGGCCCGTATAGGCCTCCCATGCTGCTCCTCGTAAGCTCTCATGGAATCATGACAAATGTCGTCGACGTTGCCGATCGATCGCGCCCCCGCGGGCACATCTGCCGGTCCATATGCTGATGTCTGTCCGATATCGGCCGCCCTCCGGTCCATGTCCGCACCGTCGTAGAAAGACCTCGTAGGCAATGCGCTCGGCGCGGCCTGCCCGTGGGCGGCAGGATCAACGGCAAAGGGGCGTGAGGTGGTGGACACATAATGTCACGCATCCCCGTCAAATGCGGTCGAGGCTCATCTGTGTGCCCGTCTCCAACGTCATGTGTGTTGGGCCTGACAATGCTGGGGTGTGCGGTCGATGACCCTCTGCGCTCGATGCCCCCCCTGAAGGACCGTCCACCATCTGCGCTCCCTGGCTGCACTGTATCCTCGCTCACGCCCTCACCTCCGTCCGAGCGGATAACTCCGGGAGGCCTTGCCTCTAAAGTCTCCGCTGGCCCTCGATGTGGCTCTTGCTGCGGGCCCTCCTCTGGTGGATGGACTGATGACACGCCGTTCGATAACAGCTGCGAACCATGACCCCCCTGCGCCAAAAAATCTCCAGACGCTGCCTCTAGTGAACCTTCCATACTACGTTGAGCTGCGACGTGCAGTCCACCACGACGGTTCCGTGCTACCTCCTCCGCCAACCCCTGCTCCACCGCCCACGGTGCACCGACATGAAAAATGGCGGGAGTGTCGGGCTCTGGAGGATGCAGTATCGTGTCGCCGCTGAACTCGTCAAACCCTCTGTCACGACGCGCGTCATCTCGTCTAGCAGGCTCCGGTGGTGCCACAACCGGCAAAGTGGGAGATATCAGTAGCGATATATCGGGCAGAGATGCCAAGGCGGAATCCATGGTGAATAGCTCGTCGGTGGGCGGAAGACTGTCGGGCRGGCAGTCGAGGCCGACGTGGTGGTCCGTCGGAGGACGTTCGTCCTCCCCGTCCTTTCCACAAGTGGGAGTGGGTGCAACCTCTCCCTCCTCTAGACCGCCGTCACTCGTGTGAGGAGGCGGCTCACGTCGTGCCTCGCYGTCCTCCAAACCCGCTCCTGTGGAGTGGACTGGGGCGCTTGCTGGAGTGCACCGAGTGTGCGCCTGGCGGAGTGGACCGGGTCCTCCGAACTCCGTCTCCTCCTCTGTGCCAACAACCGGCGCTGGTGACCGGGGATGAGTGATCCTGAACCCTGTATCCTCCTCCGTCACTATCACATCAGTGTTCGAGGCTAGCTCCTCTGCATGAACCGGGTCGCGCTGCGTCTCGTTGGAAGGATCTCCCATCTCGTCCTCTGACACGGCAACCAGGTCCTGCCGCATGTCACGTGCCCCCGTGTCGATCGCAATGTGGACACGACGTCTGCGTACACGAGACGCAATACTGTCATCCCGCCTACCCCCG